CTGGAAGTGGGGCAGAATAGGAAGCCTTGGGGTCGGCTGATGGAGATGGGAGCTGTAGTCCTGGGGAAGGGGGTAGTGCAGGGCTGCCCAGCTGGGGAGGCACCAAGGATGTCAGAGGGATGGGCGAGGGAGGTGGCTGCCCTGGAGCTGCGCCAGCCTGGAGGGAGGAACAGCCGGAGGAGCTGCCCTGCCTGCCCGCTGGCCCCTCGAGGGAAGGGGCGCCAGGGCAAGACCTGCCATGGCGAGCAGGGCCCGCAGCCAAGGAAACCTCCCGGGCAGATGGGCTCGGAGGCTCCCAAGGGCGCTGCCTTGTGTCCCCCCCCCAAGAGCAGAGCTGTGGCCCGGGGTCCCGCCAGGGGTCTCCACCTGCCATCTGATGGAGCAGCTCTGGCGAAGGGCTGCCTGCCCAGCGTGCCTCCAGCCACCCTCCCGGCTTCATGGGAGCGCTTTCTAGTCCCGGCTGGGCCCCCTGCACCCCAGGAGCCCCGCTCCTCTCCTCCTCAGCAGCAGGCCTCCCGAGTTCAGCCTCCCTTTTCCAGGGCTTGAAAGGGTCAGTGGCTGGCCATGCCCAGCTCCCAACCTTGGGCACCTTCCCCCAGGAAAGAGCTCTCCGGGGAAAGGCTGGGCCCACCAGGGGAGGGGAGCCAGGCGGGCCTGCCGGGGAGGGTCTGGGAGCTGTGCCTGGGAGGGGCATCTTCCCCTGAAAAGTCCCTTCGACAGCCAAGGCAGGAGGGACAACACTGATGCGCAGCTTGGAGTCCTGAATTGCGTGGCCCCTTCCAAGTCCAGAGTTCCACCTTGTGCCCTGGAAACGGAGACCCTTCCCCAAGAGGAGAAGCTTGTGAGTGCCATCGCCACATGTTTTCCATTGGGGAAAGGAACCAGGAAAACCTCAAGGATTCAGGAGATGACTGGATTCCAGTAGAAGGGAAAATATGTAGCTCAGGGGTGAACTGTGGGGGTGCCTGGTGCTCTCTGAGTTGGCGGTTTTCTTGCAGACGTTTCGTTACCCAATTAGGGAACATCATCAGTGCGAGGGAGGGTGGGGTTGGCTCCCTGTTTATAGACAGGAGCTTCCCCTGCCAGTTTTTTGGTGGGGGGTGGGGGTTTCCCCCGGTAGTTCCTTGATTGGGGCATTGTTTTCTGCTCGGTGGTTCATCCAGAACTAGTGAAAGAATCCATGGTAGCCATACTGAGCTTCACACCCGGCCTAGCCAATACCCCACCAAGGACTCCACAACTGGATTTGTTGAGGCATTTAATGGGAGGGGAGGCCGCCTCATGGACCTAGGAGAGAGCGTGAGAAGACAAGGCGGGGACAGTGGCAGCTGGCCTCAACCCCGCCCCAAATCTCTGGGTCCTCTGAGTTTTTGGGGGGTTGTGCATGGCCCCCAGGCTGTGGGTGGGGGAGTGAAAGAAAAGGAGCACAACGATTGTGGTCCTGGACAAAGAACAGCAGTGCTGGAGTCGCCCATCTGAGCCAGTTTGCATCATGATCAGATATTCTCAGTTAAGATCCCTTTGGTCTTAATTAATTTTGTGACTGAAGAGTATGGAATGATATTACGCAGTTTGTTTCAGTAGTAAATGATTCATTTGTTCTTTGGACTAATATAATTTAATAGCATGGTACAGTTTGAACGTATTATTTCAATTCAAAAGTATAAAAAAGCCATTTTCCCACAAATATTTGGTAAACATAGCAAAGCTTATAGAAAGTAGAATACGGATAGGCTTCTTTTCCTGGATTCAGTATATTTTGGCTGCAGCCCATATCGGCCTCTGGAAGGGGGTCCTGAGCCCCGGCAGAAGAGGCAACGCTCTCGGGGGTCAGAGGGAGTTCCCTCTGCCTAAAGGACTCCATTAAGTCCCTTGCATTTTTGGATTAAGATACCCCTTCCCGCAACCCACTGAGCACCGGGACCGGGATAGCTCCTGGTCACGTAACAGGCAAACTCCCCAACCCTGTTCCTTGGGGGGGGGTTGAACCCCATAGACAAGATCGGGCTGCCTCGGTCCAACAGGGCCTAAACACAAAGAGGAAAGCGGGCAGTGCAGCCTCCAGGTGGTCAGGGATGGCTTAGGGGGCCTCAGAGCCTCTCAGCGTGAGGAAAAAGTCTTTGAAGACACCAGACCCCAAAACCAAACCCATAGCCGGTCTCCAGTTTGGCCACTGCTGTGCACTCTGCAAAAATGGCTTCAGGCCAGCCCATGACCCCCAACCAGTCGAATCTGGACACAAAGGACCCAGAAAGGCCACTTAGTTGTCACTTTTAATTAAAGTAATGTCAATTATCTCAAAGACAGTGATAATTAAATACATGGCTGGAAAGTAATGGCACCCACTTTATTTAGTTAATTAGTTATTTATCATATTTATATAGCTGCCCATCTTATATAAGAGCAACTCTGGGCAGCATACAATTATAAAGAATAAATACATAAAAACAGTTACAAGTAAAAATAACTATAAAAGCGTACAAAACAGGAGGGGGTAATATTAATAAGGGAGCCATTGCAAAATCTCCCCGGTCCCCTGGGACCCCAGGCCTGATCACATAGCCAGGTTTAGTTAACATAGATCACATAGCCATATTTGGTTAGTTATAAGGCTAAATCAGTCCAGTCAAATTCAGAATTTCTCCTGGCCCTAATCAAACTTTGAAGAACAGACTTTGTGATAACAGAGAAAGGCAACATTTGGCCTTGCTGCCTGCAAAAGGCATTTCCCACGTGTATTTACAAGGCCTCTTGCCAGCATGGCTCCTTCTGCGAGAGGGGAGCTCTTCCTTCGAAGCTCTTTCCACTCTCTGTACATTTATACGGTTTCTCTCCAGTGTGGATCCTTCAACGAAATGAGGAAGCTCTGACGCCTTCCACGCTTGTGGCATCCTTGTCGGTTGTCTCTACTCCCAGTTCCAGGCAGTGGACACGATTCCAATTTACCTTTCAAGTATTTTTCCACATAAGAGGCCATTCTCTTCTTCATCCCGGAGATCCAGTTCTATGAAGAGGAACTCCTGGCATTCAATAAATGTCTCCTAATTTTATTTTACTGTACTTCATTGTGGTCCCCACTGATTTCTAAATGTTTCTTTCTTCAGTTCATTATTAACTAGTTGTGATGCCAGCACACTTAACTTGGGATAGAAAGAAAGAAACATTGCCTCAGACAAAAGCAACCGTTTTTTTCCTTCTTGTTTTCTGCGAATGAAGATTGTAATGAGAAATGAAGGAGAAAAACAATTGAATTGTAGCAAGAACTTTGATTTAAGGAGGAACTTAAGGAAGGAAGAAAATATTGAATTATCAGAAGTGATTAATTTCTGTCTTCACGTCTGCTCAGGTGTGATTGTTGACAATTAAAAATAATTCTTTGTAGTTGTTCTTATGAAGTCTTAAGACAGTATTTTGCAAGGTTGTTTTCTTGCAGACGTTTCATTACCCAGCTAGGTGAC